CTCACTCGTCTGACGAGGATGGGGGTGGATTTTCGGTGGGGCCCTGAGCAGTAGAGGGCGTTCGAGACCCTCAAACAACGTTTATGTGAGGCCCCAGTTTTGAACCTCCCCGAAGGAGTGGAGGACCTTGTGGTATACTGTGATGCATCCATCACAGGTCTGGGAGCGGTCCTCATGTAGAGAGGAAGGGTGATAGCCTATGCTTCATGGCAGCTGAAGCTGCACAAGAAGAGATACCCCACACATGATCTGGAGTTGGAAGCGGTGGTTTTCTCTCTCAAGATTTGGAGGCATTATCTCTATGGGGTCCACTGCACCATTTTCATGGACCACATGATCTTGAGATATATTATGGATCAGCTGAACGTGAATATGAGGCAGCGCAGATAGCTGGATATAGTCAAGGATTACGACTGTGATATCCTCTACCACCCTGGTAAAGCGAACGTGGTCGCAGATGCTCTGAGTCGCAAGACAGTCGGACCTTCTATCTAAGTGACATGCATGAGAATATCAGTGGATACCCCACTCGTGGGCTTACTTAGGGAAGCCTATACGTAGGGAGAATTGGAAAATGGAGAGTATTAAGGGTGAAAACACCTGGTTTGTGCTGGATAGCAGGGGACTGTTGAACCGTTGTGGTTGTTCTGGGTTTCAATGTCTGGTGGGGTCAGACATATCGTTTTAGAGGAGGCTCATAAGTATTGATTTTCTATTCATCCTGGGGCCACTAAGATTTATCGGGATTTGTGTTTGAGTTATTGGTGGTCGTGCATGAAAAGAGAGATCGCTTGGTATGTGGAGAGGTGCCTGACCTGCAGGATGGTCAAGGCTGAGCACCAGAGGCCACATGGAAAGTTGCAGCCTCTTGAGGTACCCATGTGGAAATAGGAGCATATCACGATGGATTTTATCACCAAGCTACCAAGGATGACAAGGGGTTTTGACGCCATATGGGTCATTGTGAATCGATTGACCAAGAGTAACCACTTTCTGGCCATTCGGGGGAGCTCAGCGGCCGAGAAATTGGCCGAGCTATACGTTCGTGAGATTTTCACACCATATGGGGTTCCGTCTTTATTATCTCAGATTGTGATGTTCGGTTTACCTCCCGATTATGGCAGAAGTTCCACGAGGAACTGGGCACACGACTGCATTTCAGTACGGCCTATCATCTACAGACGGACGACTAGAGTGAGTGGACCATACAAACTCTTGAGGATATGTTGAGATCCTGTATTATTGACTTCGGTGGGAGCTGGGACTCCTACCTACCCCTCATTGAGTTCTCATACAATAACAACTTTCATTGCAGCATTAGCACCCCGCCTTATGAGCTGTTGTACGGGAGGAGATGTTGCACCCCAGTCTGTTGGGGTGAGGTGGATCACAGGTTGATGGGTCAGACCGAGGTAGTTCTACAAACTACCAAGAGGATTCAGAAGATCAGACAGCGGCTGCAGACCGCTCAGAGTCGGTAGAAAATTTATGCTGATCGGCGCCGATCTGAGTTGGAGTTTCAAGTCGGTGATATGGTGCTTCTGAAGGTTGAAGGTTTCACCCTGGAAGGGTGTGATCTGCTTCAGGAAGAAGGGAAAATTAGGTCCCCAATTTATTGGACGATTTCGAGTTGTTGCCAGGGTTGGCAAAGTTGCTTATAGACTGGCTCTTCTAGAGGAGCTCCGCCAATTGTGGAAGTGCATATTAGATGAGGACGCGGTAGTGTCATTAGATGATATCAAGGTTGACGAACACCTGAACTACGTGGAGCAGCCAATGGCTATTTTGGAAAGGAGGATAAAAGTTCTGCATAGCAAGGAAATACCTTTGGTGAAGGTGCAGTGGCGACATTGGAAGGTATCTGAGTGGACTTGGGAGCCAGAGTCCCCAATACGAGAGCACTACCCGGATCTCTTAGCTGCAACATACTTCGGGGACAAAGTCTAGGTCAAGTGAGGGAGAGTTGTAAGGCCCCAAACTTCGCAGGTATATTTCAATCACTCCTCTTTGCAAGTTTCCAATTGTAGTCCATGGAGTGTTTGAGTTGGGCCATGAGGAGTATAAGGACTAAAGTTGCCACTTTGAGTCAGAAGGAGTACGCTAAGTGTACATAAGGGTACGTTGAGCATACTAGGTGTGCCCTAGTACGCTGGGCGTACTAGTGTCTGGAGAAAACCCTAATATTTAGGGTTTGGGGACTATATAAACACCCTTATGGATGATTTCCTCTAATTATCCTCAACCTCCATAACCTACATTTGACCTCCCCCAAACCCTAGCTCTTCCTTGTGGGTGTAAGCTTGCTTGGTGTGTGTATTGGAATGTTTCAAGAGAAGAACATTGCAACTAAGTGTTGGAGAATAAGGTTAGGCTCATAGATCTGAAGTTAGTTTGTGCTCAAGAAGCTCCTAAAGGTATAAAGTTCTAAACTTTATGCACATATGCTTAGATCTAATCATTTTACTTTATTTGGAGCATGTTTTGTCCCATAATCCATAAAGTGGTGTATTTTGTGTTATGGACGTAAAGAGCTGTCCTTCCAGGCTTTTGAAAGGACTTGGAGTGATAAAAATCAGGTCCCATTAGCTATAAGTGTCCCATGCAAGAGAAATAAGGTCTTAATGGATTGAGACCAATCATTTAGAACATTATGGTCATCCAAAGTGATAAAGGTCGTGACTTTATGGACCATGGGCATGTTAGGCCTCTGTATTTGAGATTAGGACTTAAGTGCTTAATCCATTAGGCACTTAATAAGGTATTGTCAAGAGAGGGAATATGCCCAACGTAAATTCAACATGCCCAACGTATGGGTCAACCACCTCGATGGTGGTCAACCTCTGGTTGAGTACACCCAACGTACTAGAGGAGTACACCCCGCGTACGTCCTCTGTTGGGCCATTGACATTTGGGCTTTGGGTTTTGGGCTGTTTTGTGGGAAAAAAGGGGTTTGGGCCTTTGTTGGACTTAATAAATAAGATGTTATGGGCCACTAGTGGTAGTGGATCATAGGTTTAGGCCCAATATGGATATTAGGCCCAATTTAATAAATTTAAGCCAATAGTGGGCCTAAGTGTTGGGTCTTGAAGATAAGGACTTGGTCAAGGATGGGACAATGCTGGGTATTAACCTAGTACTTATTCTTATGTGACAATTCGGGATTCCTGGTGAAATCTTAGACAGAGACTTGCAGTATTTCAACACTATTTGCGAGGTGAGTTATCCTCACTATATCAACAGGGTCTAAGGCACCAAGGCCGACCCTTTATGGATTGTATTCAAATTATTATATGATATGCCTACTGATTTACAACCTGGTAGTTAGGATGTTGTGTTAGTGACCTATTAGGTCGGTGTCCTGGTTATAGGATCATTACTATGCATGTGATCTGTTATATCGGTTTGACTGCTATATGCATGATATTGTTTGTACGTTATCCATGTGCACATGTCTGTCTGTTTGGGAAATAGGTTAAGGGAGTCATGCTTCGTGTTGTAGGCAAGCATACCCGGGGCGGTCCAGATAGGCTATAGGCCCTGAGGAGGCGGTCCAGTCATGCCAAAGGCCCGACGAGCAGTTCGGATAGGGTGTAGGCCCTAAGGAGGCGGTCCAGTCATGCCGAAGGCTCGGGAGCGGTCCAGATAGGCTGTAGGCCCTGAGGAGGCGGTCTAGTCATGCTGAAGGCTCATTATACATGTTGTTTGTTATTATTTTGTTGTGTGGTATATGTTGGTATTTTGGTGGTAACTCACTGAGCCTTCGAGCTTACATTTATTGATTTTTGTTTCAGGTACTTCAGGTGACCATGGCAAGGAGAAGGCGTGATGCACACACATCCTCACTTTTTATGATTTTGGATTTCTGGGAACTCTGATATGAAATCATTTTGAAACAATTTGTGAACTATATCGATGTTGGAACAATTTTTGATTACTCGGATTGGTTTTGAAAAGTAAAAAATTTAGTAAAATTTTGTGTCGTTACAAATCGCACCTGGTCTACATCGCATCTTGTAATTCTTCCTCAATTGATGAAATTGATGTTCCATACATTCAATTGAGTCTACCAGATGTTTGGATATCTGATTTCTTGATTTTCCCACATTTTAGCATTAATTGGAAACATCGGACCAAAATTTATAAAAATTATATGTTCTTACCCTTAGAGTATCAATTATATATTATTGTAGTTTCAATTATATGTTTAGTATTTTATTTTTATAAGATTTTTAAATTATTATATTTACTAGATGTAAGACCCGTGTACTATACAAGTTTATTAAAAATAAAAAAATTAATATCAATATGTAAACATTAAATATTTTATAAAGTAATTGAGAAACGAAAGTAAATCAATGAGTTTGTAACATTTATGTGAATTTATTCTCAAGTTAATAAATTGATAACCTTACATGAATAGAACGAGAACCTTCCATATATATAATTATGGAAATTTAATGTAAAAATGAAAAACCTAAAAAAATGACAAGTGGAAAATAACAAAATGAAAAAAAAAAACAAAAAAAGTCATTTGGCAAAATAAAGGAGAAGACATCTGACAAAAAAGCTTTATTTAATAGACATGATTTTCTAATTTCGCATCGGGCTTATGCCTCCGGGCACGATTCCATTTTTTTAAACCTTGGGTGTAAGTTGTAAGTCAATTATAAGATTATAAATCAGTTTTTGATCTAAACTTTTTACTTTCCCATTTAACAATTGGAGGGCTTGTGAGGCTGTACAACCCACAACATGGGAGAATCATACCAGAAGTAGTGTAGAAAACGTATACTAGTGACATTATACCTTAAGTAGTAATTAAATGTTTCAGTGTCATATGTATAATGATGGTATAATGTTTTTTTTCCTCCATAAATTATGGCTAATATTACAAGGCATTACTCAACTTCCACTATCATTCCAATCTCTAATTTACAAATTATTGTCAAATCAATGTTTCTCTAGCCTAATAAGAATACTTTTTGTTCACACCAAAAATACTACGACCATATGTAGCACTCATCAACTCTATGACAAGAGATTTGTAGGGTCACAAAAGAAGTAATTGGTAGGCATGTCACGACAACTGTAGGAATAAGAATCCTTGAGTTGCTTTGGCCAAACACAAGGTACAATGTTGCAGCAAAAGCTACTATCATGGTTGTTGTTGAGATGAACAATGTCCCCAAACCAATTATCAACTTTGTTGGCAACTTTAAGAGAAAGTCTTGTTCAGCTAAACGTGCAATGAGAATCGAGAAAAATGTTAGCGTATATTTCTTTTATTATGTATAGTCCATATATTTATTGTACAACCCATATATTGATACGGGGCACATTCATGTATTATGGTATTTATTGTATTGCAAGGGCTTGAAAGGGATTCATGGGAAAATACGATTCAACATGGTATCAGGTTTTTTTCGGCTAACCCTAATATCATCGATCCCTCCTTACATCGTTCTTTGCTTCACCCTCTACCTCGCTCCCTGTTTTGTTCTACTTCTTGCTGTTTTCGTTTTGATTCATCATGCCCGACACAGATACCCCTCCTTCTCCGAGCGGCCCTTCTGACAAGATCTACGGTATCACCAACATAAAATCGTATGTCTCTCTTCAGCTCGATCTCGATCGTTTGAACTATGATTCCTGGAAATAACTCTTCAAAAGCCACTATGTTGGATACTCGGTTTTTGATCATCTTGACGGTTCCTCCACCTCCAAATCATCTAATGATCCTTTATGGAAGTCTGTTGACAATATTGTCAAGCAATGGTTATATGGAACTTTATCTCAGGCGGTTCCGCAAGCTATTCTTATCCCTGATGCTACAGCAGTCGAAGTATGGAAAGCCATTGAGGATCGTTTCACGAAAATAAAGAAACTAAAGCTTTGGAATTAGATGATGAAATTCGAAACTTGGCCATTGGGGACTCCACTGTTATGGAATATTGTACCCGTATTAAGTCCATAGCTGATCTTCTTCGTGACATCGGTGCCGCGGTATCGGGAAAGAAACCTTGTGATCTATACCCTAAATGGTTTGTCTCTAAAATTTACTCACATTGTCATGACCATACGCCATCAAAAACCTTTTCCAAGATGGTTGGAGATGCGATCCATGCTCACTTTGGAAGAACGTGCCATGGTCAAAGATCAAACCAAGATTGTACCGACTCCACACCTTGACAACTCATCTGCACCGACAATTCTTAATACCGAACATCAGCCTCTACCCCTCCAATCATAAGGGTTTCCGGTGCCTTAATCTCCATACTAAAAAGATTATCATCTCTCGTCATGTCACATTCGATGAATCTGTTTTCCCATTCGGTTCTTTGACTCCGAACCGCTCCCCGAACTATGATTTTCTCAATCATAATGATTCTCGCAATTTTTTCAACGATACTCTTCATACAGCTCAACCTCTTGATTCCATCCCTACTTCGGCAGTTACCGCCGTTGAACCGATCATCAACACTGCCTCTTCTGTCGATGCAGCTACGGCTGATGTCGATCTCAATCCTCTTCCCGAGGTTGCTGCCACCAATCCCGTATCTCATTCTTCACGCGCTGCTCCACCTCAAGCTTCCGCCCCCTCTCACCCTATGACCACTCGTGCTTGGCATGTCATCTTTAAACCCATTGATAAACTAAATCTCCACATTGAATCCACATCTTTTCCAATTCCTCGCACGTATTCTCAAGCCTTTCGAGATCCACATTGGTTAAACGCCATGCAAGAAGAATATGATGCACTTATGTCTAATGGAACTTGGGAATCAGTACCTCGTCCTCATAATGCTAATGTGGTTAATTGTATTTGGCTGTTTAAGCACAATGCAGATGGCTCACTCTCTCGCTACAAGGCTCGACTTGTAGCAAATGGTCGTAGTCAACTACCTCGTATTGACTGTGATGAGAGTTTTAGCCCGGTTGTAAAACCAGCCACCATTCGCACTGTTTCTTAGCTTGGCTGTATCTCATTATTGGCCAGTTCATCAATTAGATGTAAAGAATGCTTTTCTTCACGGTCGTTTGCTGGAGACTATCTATATGCATCAACCTACAGGGTTCTGAAATCCTCAGGCTCTGGATCATGTTTGTTTGCTTAATCGATCCTTATACGGTCTCAAACAGGCACCACGGGCTTGGTATCATAGATTTGCCCGGTTCATCACTGGAATTGGTTTCACGAATTGCAAATCTGATACATCTTTATTCATTTTCAGACAGGGCGATCAACTTGCTTACTTACTACTTTATGTTGATGACATTGTTTTGACAGCATCTTCCACAAGTCTTCTTCAGCAAATCATCTCTACTCTACGTTCAAAGTTTTCCATGACTGAGTTGGGCTCTTTGAACTATTTTTTGGGTATTGCTGTCACCAGAGACTATCATGGCATATTTTTACATCAACAAAAGTATGCCACAGAGATTCTTGAACGTGCTAATATGCTAAACTGCAAACCAGCTCGCACACCAGCTGATACATCAGCCAAGTTTGATGGTACTAGTCCGCCTGTTACTGACCCGACTCTCTATCGTAGCCTTGCAGGTGCTCTCCAGTATCTCACCTTCACTTGCCCAGACGTCACTTATGCCGTACAATAGGTCTGTCTTTATATGCATGATCATCGAGAGCCTCACTTCATGGCTCTCAAGCACATCCTTCGTTACATCCGTGGAACTCTGGACCATGGTCTTCAGTTGTATGTCTCTCCATCATGCGGTCTACTCGCCTACTTGGATGCTGACTGGGCAGGGTGTCCGTCCACCAGACACTCTACATTCGACTATTGTGTTTTCCTTGGTCAGAATCTCTTATCCTGGTCGTCCAAGCGACAAGGTACCACTTCTAGATCCAGTACTGAAGCCGAATATCATGGTGTCGCCAATGTTGTTGCTGAATCTTGTTGGCTACGCAACCTCTTACATGAGCTTTTATATCCTCCGCTGTCTGCTACTTTGGTGTATTGCGACAATGTCAGTGCTGTCTATCTATCAAGTAATCCTGTTCAACACCAACGCACCCAACATATCGAGATTGATCTTCATTTTGTGCGTGACAAAGTTGCTTTGGGTTACATACGTGTGTTACATGTTCCGTCTTCTTCTCAGTATGCTGATATCTTCACCAAAGGTCTACCATCGACTCTTTTTCTTGACTTCCGAGACAGTCTGAATGTCTGTTCAAGATCTCCCATTCAGACTGCGGGGGGCTGTTAGTGTATATTTCTTTTATTATGTATAATCCATATATTTATTGTACAACCCATATATTGATATGGGGCCCATTGATGTATTATGGTATTTATTGTATTGCAAGGGCGTGAAAGGGATTCATGGGAAAATACGATTCAATAAAAAACATTAACAATAATGTAACAGCTGAGAATAATGATATGGCATCTGATATTGCAAATACTGTGAAGGCAGTGTGATTGGTAAAATTTGGTATCCCCTTGTTCTGATCGTTTCCTCCCGTACCTGTAATAGCTGCTACAAACACAATGGTGATGATAAATGCAGTTGTGATCGTGTAGGACTCCGTAGTGGACTTTATCCATTTTTCTCCCTCAATCACCAACTCTTTGTGCTCTCTTGTGAATACCATTTGAGGTGTTTCATTGAAATAGTTCTTTTGTATAATTCTTAGAGGACAAATGAATCTTTCCACTTCATACAATATTGGAATATGTTTTAAGTGTTACACATGCTTGATAAATAGTTATGGTCATTAAGTATCAGGTATGTCGATTTTGAATCGTCGGGATTCATACCTTAAACCATTGTAGTTCTCGTTGTATCTGTAAAGCAGCCCCTGATATAAGATTCAGTTTGTTGGACGGTGCTAATCTTGAAGCTAGATGCAACAAGTTATTCCCAGAAGAATCTCTATCTGCTAGATATATATTCATATGTTCGCTCATCCGATAAAGTAGGGTGTAAACCTTTTCTGAACGATTTATCACATCATACTGGATAATATTGTGACCATCTTCGGTGGCACTCCAAATTGCATTGGGGAAGCAATACACGATTTCTTCTACAATCTTGTATGCATTTTGTCTAGTGGCTTCAAGAATTGGATTTGTGTAATAGTGTTGGTAAGAGGTGGAGGGATTTTTTTTCCTTTATTAAGTCGGATACATCCCACAACAGTTTCACTGCATCTTTATGAGTTTCAACTCTCTTTTCAATGAATAGACACACTGCAACATACACCCCAATGAGCATCTCAAATAAATAAATACTCTTTTCTTTGTAGTAGTACATTGAAGGTACTTGCTGACCAACATACCTAACATCCCAGGGATCATCAGGAAAAGCATGAGGATGAAGAAAGTCACTGCATTACGTGATGGAATGGTTGTTAGAATGATACATAAGGTTATAGAATGTTTAACCAACAAGTTAATAGTTTAAGAAAAGATAAACTCATAACCTACCACAAAGGATTGGGATGACTATACATCTGAAAACCCATGGAGAATCTATGTCAGTTAATTCACCATCTAAGCTTAAGCAACTGGAGGCTGCTCAATCAAGTAACTTATGAGTCGTCAGTCCATACGATATAAAAATAGGTTTGCAGGAAGTTGGTTAGAGAAGCGTTATAAATAATTTGACAATGTAAACGAATATGAAGATCAAGATAAAAAAATCAAACAAACCTCTTTCATATAGGTTGACTTTGCTTGGGAAATTTTGAGCTATAGCCATCGGCACAACATCAATATGCAATGTTTTTTAATGATCCAACATATCTTTTGCAGAGCCTATATATATATATATATATATATATATATATATATATATATATATATATATATATATATATATATATATATATATATATATATATATATATATATATATATATATATATATATATATATATATATATATATATATATATATATATATATATATATATAAGTGGGTAGGTTTTTTTACTAAAAGTCAACACTTACGAAAATCTTTAGAGGAAATAAGAGCAACTAGAAGGTCATTACCAGTTGTGCCAAAAAATAGAGCATCCTTCAGAGTATCAGTATTGATGTGTTGCAACAGATGTCGAGCTATCTTAAATGGGTTCCTGTACTTGTACACAACAAGAAACACATAGGGATAAAAACTTTAAGGAGATAACACACACAATCTAAGCTTCACGTGTTTGCATGATTTCTGAAAAAAATAAAACCTAGATGCCAAAAAGGCTTACATCGAAAAAGAAACTGTAGAAGAGAAAAGAAAACTACCCACTAACTTCTCTACCACTAATTAAGATAAAGGTCAATAGCTAAAATGCAAAGCTAAACTGTAAAGCAAAATACTACATAAAGATAAAAAGACAAATTGGAACTAACAAAAGCATGCATAACACATGCATATATCCGTTAGATAATAAACTAGGTGTTGCTGTTTCAATATTCCCTCTCAACGCCTGTGTCCACCATGCCCAAAATATTGCAAAATTCGACTAACTTCTGGCTTGATAAGCTTTTTGTAAACATATATGCATCTTGTTCTTTGGTGTTTACATACTGTAAATCAATTTCTCCTCTGAGAACCTTTTCGAGAATGAAATGATAGTGAACTTCCATATGCTTGGTCGGGGCATGAAACACAGGATTTTCTGCTAGACGAATTGAGGATAGATTGTCACAGAAAAGTGAAACCTGATACTCCACTTCTTGATTCATATCTTTTAACAGCTGCAAGAGCCACACACTATGACAACCCGAAGTTCGTTCCACCATTTGTAACCCCTTTTCGTTAATATATTCATCGTTTCAATTCCGTTTCCATTACGTCGTTAAATTAAGTCATAATTGTGGGATTTCTATTATGACATAATGAGTGTCTAAACATGTTTAGAACTCATATTAACACTCTATATTAGTAATCGGAAAAATTTTAGAATCGACCATATCGGGTTACAGTAACTTAATCGGGTGCGACTAAAAGCATCGTATAACGTTGGTATCGGGTAGAATTCCATCGTGTCCAAAACTTGGAACCTATTTAAAGTGGTTTAAGTTTCCATTTGAAGCTTTTGCTCTCTCTCACTACTCTCTCTCTAACCTCTCTCCTCCAATACAAGTTTCAAGTCCAAAATCATCAAATTTAAGCTCCAAATCACCAAGGTAACTTCCCTAACTCATAGATTAGCAAACTCATTTTTCCAAAGCCCTATACGTCCGTAGATGTCACCCGGGTCACTCCAAACACTTGATTTAAGTGTTTTCTCGTATTGGAGTGTATAATCATATCTAATTAGTGATTTAAAGTATAATTAGATACGTTTGTATACCATTTCATATTACATAGGAACCTTGCACGTTATCAAGCCCCGAACCGACACATACCATCCCAACCGACATGCTTTCTCATTTGGTGAGTTCATACCCCTACCCTTTTTCAATGTTTTTCACTGTTTTCAGAGGGGGGGGGGGATACAAGCAAAGTACAAGTAATACTTGTACTCAACACTTGTTTTATATGTGTTGTGTTTCATATTACATATGCTTTTAACACTGATAGTTGTAAGAAACAACCGTTTGAACCTACAGAATACATTATCATATTATTTGTGAAAAACATTATAAATTGTTGTATTTTATATTTTCACAAATGTTTTCCCACATTATAATAGTTTAAAGCATAACATTTGAACTTAGAACATTGTTTTGTCCTTGGTAACACTCCACAGAGATACGTGAGTGGAGGATAGTCATTTGATCTTTCAGTATTATTACTAGTAAATTTGTTATTCCTATAAATTGAAGACACATCCTCGGAGAACACTCCACAGGGATACGCGAGTGGAGGACCGCCCCCGTAACCAGAATCTCTTAGATAGGGAGCGTGACTTGAGTGTAAAGATCTATACGGGGCTGACTACCCCACACCTGGCTGCTAGCTACAGCCGAACCGAAAGGTTCAAGGGTGACGAAAGTCTTAAGGTGATGTGGACTACATATTGCCATATCTAGTCTATCGTATGGTTATGGAACTCGCAATTTAGATAACAGAGATTTACTTTTGAGTAATAATGGGTTTAGTAACTAGTTTACTTTGTATTTATTAGTTTTATATACGTGTTAAAACTAATACATTTCAGTGTACATCTTTTACATTACATCTCGAGTTGGTAAACTAACATACATTTCACAAGGATAACCAGGTTTTCAGTATACATCTTTCAACTTAGGAAAATATGGGATTTTCCTGGGATAACAATTGAACATAACCAGAACCGTGTAACATAACAGATAAATAAACTTTACATATAAGAAAATATGGGATTTTCTTGGGTCGTAACATTTTCAGAAACCAAAAGGAAACTCGTACATTTTCACAAAACAAAAACCGCTTATGAACTCACCAGCTTTATGCTGATTTTTAAAATGCTTGTATTCTCAGGTCCGCATTAGACAGGTACCCGATGATCCTTTTGTCGAAGACGGAGTACATCGAAGACACATCTTGATTTTGTTCATATATATATATATATATATATATATATATATATATATATATATACATACATATGTATCACACTTGTACAACTAAACTTTTGAACAAATGTAAATTTTTATATGTAATGTAATGGTTGTTTGCTTTGCTTACTATGTGCATTGGATTTGATACTCAACGTGGAGTCCGTCCCGGGAATGTTTCCGGCTTGGTTTTTAGGGTGTGACAGATTGGTTTCAGAGCCCTTGTTTATAGTGAATGAAGTATACGAAACCTTACATGGTATAAAACTATAAACACTAAGGGGCCTAAGTGCTCTGAACTAAAAGTATACTTCAAAGTATAAGTATTTTCAAAAGTATACAAGTATACCTAACCGTCGAGATCCGTAACTACAAGTAGAACAAAACATAAGTAAATGGATGTTGTATGTTGCGGTTAAACCTGTGCAGTTATGTAGTTGTGTCTAGGATCAATATAGCCTGGCCAACATGTACTTGGGAGTGACTGTGGTGTTCAGAATGCCTAAAACTTATCCTAATACCCCAAACATCGAACCTTGGTCGTAGCGAATTATGAAATACTATGGGAGTATTTCTCGAGCCAATCCTTTGTAGAAAACCTCATTCAAGCGTTGTTCCCTGATCATTCCTTTAGTGATAAATTATATGTTTTGATAACTCTTTCCTGCTTTATCGCTTATTCGGAATATATAACTGTCATATCTCTCGATTCAATTCGGAGGACTGATCATCCTCTCTTTCCTGATCTCATTAGATCAAGATGCCTCCAAGAAAGAGACCTAACTCAAAGGCCAACAACCCTCCACCACCACCTTCTCCCCAAATTGATCTCGTAACGCTTCAGACAACTATTACTACTGCAGTGACAACCGCTATGTCACAAATGAACCCTGGTAGTTTAGGAGGTGGTCCCCAGCCCCAAAATCCAGAAGATAGCCAGAGACACCAAAAAGAGGGTTCTTATAAAGACTTCATGAGCATAAAACCCACATCCTTTGATGGAACTGGAGGTGTCATTTCCCTCACCCAATGGTTCGAGAAAATCAAATCCATCTTTGAAATCCGTGCCTGTTTGGAATTTGACAAAGTGAAGTTCGCAGTCTGTACC